CTTGTTTCCTGCTTTTTCAATCTCAGCTGTGCTGCGCAAAGCATCTGAGGAGGGAAAAGCAGGGAATAAAGGACAGCCTAGAGCCCGGGCAGGCAGGTGAGCCAAACACCAAACCGGTTTGGTGTCGGCTGCTCTTCGCAGCTACAGGTTCTATAGAACTGGGCCAAACTGGTAGCATCCCACCCCTGGTTGGTCTGTATGGACTTGTGCATTATATGCCTTAAATCAGCAGCTTTGTAGTTCTCTGAAGAGAACTCTCCTGAGTTGGGAAATGAAGTGAATTTAGACTTTGCTTAGAGAAGGATTACACACATGGTAAATTGCTGGGTATGCACATGTCTCCATGTTGAAGTAACACAATGGCTCGTGCCTGAAAAAGGAGATTTTGCTCTTTTAAAAGAATGTCAGTAGTTTGTATGATGCAAGCCCAAGACAGCACTGCAAATGCATTGTTTAAAATGCTTTTGCATTTTTGCAAATTCATCAATGGAGCCATAAGTATTAATTCTTCAGTTCATCAAAGTAAAGAAAGATATTGGCATTCAATATGTGTGCATTCACACTATCTCAAACATAAATCCTCTTCAAAATGTCCCAACTCCTAGCAGCAGATTCTTCACCATGAGTATGGACTAACTGCTGATCATTCAGTGTCAGTCCAATTATACTAAGAGCCTTTTCATTATCCCAGTTAAAGTTAGCTATTTTCTTTTCATCTTCATCATTCAATGGGTCCCAAGCTGTTACATCTGGTGGGCTATTAACTACAGTCCATAATCCGTCTTTATGCAGAAGTAGGCTGCACTTCATAGACCAGGAAACATAGTTTGTTCCATCCAACTGGGTTATCTGGGATATACTGGTTGACTGTTCTTGTGCCATTTGTAGTTTAACAAGTTTAGCAATCAGCTGTCTGAATATGAAACTGTATATTCACACTGATTCTCAATATCTCTCTGGGCCCATAACCAATGTTATGATATGTACAGAATGACCCTTGAGTAACAAGGATATGCACATGGAAATGTTTATGAGAATAATTATGAATAATTATTCAGCCACACACAGATACACTAAATTGAGTTAAAGTTTACTTTAAGAAATAGCACAGTCCAATAAATGGTCCAGGTCATATATGTTTAACAGTCCAAATAATATCCAATTACAAAGTCTTCTTACTGGTTGCCTTTGTCATTTACAGTAAACAAAGATATCAAAGTATAAGCACAACAGAGAACCTTAGATAGCAACAGATTGTCAGAGATACAGAATGTCAGAGATACAGAATGTCAGAAAGAGCAAGCCATGATCTCTAGCTCCCTCTTATGGCAATTCACAATACAATCAACCAATCGGAACATAGTACAAATCAATACAGTAACTTTGTCTTAAAGCTACAAACATACATTGTTGGTTTATATGTTGCCAAGCCAACTAATTGGTGGACAGATTCCTAACAGTACCCCACTGCTGACTTCCCTCCATGTAATGTAATACCATTAAGGACTACTCATTGTCAGCCAGTTATGAATCCATCTGATTGTGATGCTATTTCTCCCACTTTTTTCTGTCTTACCAAGAAGTAGGTTGTGGTCTACTTTGTCAAATGCCTTGCTTAAGTTGAAGTATATTATATCCACAGTATTTCGCTGGTCTGCTAATTTAGTCACTATGTTCAAGAATGAAATAAGATCTGTTTTTTATTATCTTTTCCAGCATCTTTCTGGGTATTGATGTTAGGCTGATTGGTCTGTAGTTTCCTGGGTCTGTTTTTCCCCCTCTTTTTTGAAGATGGGAACCACATCAGCTCTTTTCCAGTTTTCTGGTAGTTCCCTAGTGCTCCAGGATTTTTGAAAAATGTGGTGCAGTGGTTCTGAGATGATTTCTGCCAGCTCCTTTAGAACTCTGGGGTGTAATCTGTCAGGTGCTGGTGATTTGTGTTCATCAAGATCAGACAGGTGTTCTCTTACTATTTTTTTTTTTTGCTTATTTCAACTTTTATTTCTAGTCTGTCTTTTACAGTTATGTTTTTGGTGGATTGGGCTATAGTTTCTTTTTGTGTGAAGACCAATGCAAAGAATGAGTTAAGCAGCTCTGCTTTCTCCCTGCTGCCTGTTACTTCTTTGCCATCTTCTCTCTTTAGTGGACTGATTGTTTCCTTGATTTTTTCTTGTTATTTATATGTTGGAAGAAACTTTTTTTTAATTATCTTTGACTTTTGTTGCAAGTCTTTGTTCATTCTGAGCCTTTGCTTTCCTGACTTCGTCTTTGCAGATTCTGGGTATCTGCTAATATTCTGGCTTAGTTGTCTGTCCCTCTTTCCATTTTTTTTGCTTGTCCTTTTTGTCTTTCAATTTGTCAGAGAGATCTTTGTGCAGCCATGCTGGTTTCTTCTTGGATTTCTTGTTTTTCTTTCTTAGTGGTATTGTGCTGGTCTGGGCTTTTATGGTTGTACTTTTCAGAGTTTCCCAAGATTCTTCAGTTGTTTTTCCCTTTAGGATTTTCATATGTGGAATCTTTCCCAAGTTCTCTCTGAGTTTATTAAAATCAGCTCTTTTAAAATCTAAGAGTCTGGTGTCATTATGTTCTATTGCTTGTGTTTGTGTTATGTTGAATTCTGGTACGACATGGTCACTCTCATCCAAGGTTCCTGCAGTTTCAACTCCCGCTATCACTTTTTCTCTGTTTGTAAGAATTAAGTGGCTGTCCATCTAGCTCCATCCTCTACCTTTTAGACAACAAAATTTGCCAGCTAGGTTGGTTAGAAAACTGTTTGATTTCTCATTTGGTGCAGAATTAGTTTTCCAATTGATACCACGGTAATTGAAATCCCCCATCACTATTGTAGTGTGTTTCCTATATTTATTTGTTAGTTGGTTGGCAAAAAGGACATCTATTTTTTCTGCTTGATTGGGTGGCCTATTGTCAATCCTGACTTACGGTCATGGACTTGCCATGATAAGGGACTGGGTGGTGAGGTGTGATGCATGCAGGACTGAGAAGAAGATGCCACTGTTGGAAGAATGCTGAAGGGAGAGTAGCTGAAGCGGCAGGACCAATACTACAAAAATCCACAGGTCCAGATGTTGGTTTTGTTTTCTGTTGGGGATTGCATGGGGGAGGGCTCTTGAGTGGGTGGACTGCCGGATGGGTAGTGTTTGGGGAAAAGACATAAAAGCAGCACTGGTAGGCAAAGCTCCCAGTGCTAGCTTTATATGTGACTCGCTGTCTGTTGTTGCTGTTTTATTTGCAAACCAAGCTGGAGTAAAAGAAACCATACATCTATGTGAGTGTTCTGAGTTCTTTCTTGTGTCTGTGGGAGTCAGCCAATGGCAGTTGGAGATCCGGCTTCCCCGAATCTATGTTGCAAAGTGAGACAGCTGTTCAGTGAGCTTTCACTCACTTTACAACCGTTCTTGCCACCATTGTTTAGCAAATAGTTGTAGCTCTTCAGTGAGTCACAGAATTGCTAAGTGAATCCGGCTTCCCTGAATCTCTGTTGCTAAGACAGACAGCTGTTCAGTGAGATTTCACCCATTTTATGACCATTCTTGCCACCGCTGTTAAGTGGATCACTGTTTAAGTCAGTCAGATGATGGTTGAGTGAAGCTGGCTACCCCAGTGACTTTGCTTGTCAGACGGTCACAAAAGGGAGATCACGTGACCCCAGGACACTGTGACCATCATAAATGCGAGTCAGATGCTACACATCCAATTGTAAGTCACATGACCATTGGGATACTGCAATGGTAATAAGTGTGAAAAATGGTCATCAGTGGCATTGTAACTTTGAACGGTCACTATATGAACTGTCGTAAGTTGAGACTACCTGTATAGTTTTCAATTTGACAGCAATTCTTGACTTATGACCATCATGGCCAGTCTTGGTCGATGTCGTATTTCCTTACCTAAAATCATGGGGGCGGGGGGTGGGTGATGGGGAGCAGCAGCCCAACTGCAGTATCAGGTGTGGGGTGGAGAGCAGAATATTAGCATACTTGATTATTTTCTTCATCTGAAAAGGGGGAAAGTTTTATCTCCCTACTCTCAAGGTTCTCATTTCTTCTGTATATCTTGATGTCAAGATATGAAAATTGAGGTAAATTGATGCTTAAATAATAAAAAGGTACACAAAACTAGATTTTGTTACAATAAAGTTTTAAAATATTAATCAAAAACTATTACATAAAATTTTACAAAAAACAAAACTGTTATTTAAAGTATTGCCAAATTGCTTTTTTATTGGCGTCCTCACTTGCAGTTTTCTTTTGTTTTACATGAGCATCATCAGCTTTGTGATGTGCTCGCAACAATTTTTTTACTATAGGAACAGGGTCCCATTCTTGCAGAGGTAGGCCAATTAGATAAATAGTCAGTAGGTTAGTTACATTGGAAACAGGCAACTTCTGCTCTCTGAACATATTATATTCATTTGTGAAAAACCTCTTCCTGCTTCTGCTGAACTGACTGCAATTGTCCTGACAATATCTCTAGCTTTTTTAATGCTGCCAGGAATTGCATATTTCTCCGAATATTTTAACACATTTTCTATAAAATCTCAATAACCATTAATATTAATTTCATAATGGAAAATTTCACCAAATGCAACCAATTTTTCTTCAGCTGCTTTCCACTGAACCACCACTTCTTCAATGTTCCAGTAATCTGGCACCAAAAAATTGAGAAATTTTAATTTATCAGTGCCTTTAAATTGGCTACCTGTTTTTAAATGTTCACAATCCATCAATCTTTTCTTCTAATTACTTACAATGCTTTCTAAAAGTCTTTCCTGAGGAAGTCCCACAAATTGATGATTTTGTACAAAATTTATATTTTGAAGGTTTCTGAATTAATTAATCCATCAACCCTTTTTTTGTATGCACCCTTTTCCTTTCTAAGCATTTCAAATGATTTAATTGATCTTACCACAAGTTTTTCAGCCTTTATGATGTCTACATTTCTCATTTGCTTTTGGGATCGGAAGTGTCAGAGGAGCCGCTTTACTTCTTCTTGGCCGCCGCCTTCTTGGGCTTGGCCACCTTCGCCTTGGGAATCTTGGGCTTGGCGGCCTTAGCCTTTGCCCTGACCGCCTTGGCTTTGGCGGGACTTTTGGCCGGCTTCTTGGCCTTGGCGGGCTTGGCCTTCTTGGGGCTCTTGGCCGGCTTCTTGGCTCCCGCGGCCGGCTTCTTGACCGCCTTCTTGGGGCTCTTCTTGGGGGCGGGCTTCTTGGGCTTCTTGGCGGTGGGCTTCTTGCTCTTGAGGGCCGGCTTCTTCTTGACCACCTGGTCCTTGGCTTCCTGGTGCTGCTGCTGCTTCTTGTTGAGCTTGAAGGAGCCCGAGGCGCCCGTGCCCTTGGTCTGTAGGGGGCGTGCATAAGTGCACCAACGTGCCTACCGTCCCTGTCCTATTGTTTCTCTTATTCTTCTTTTATTTTTCTTATATGTACCCATTTCATGTATTCACAACTATGTATACACTTATACTTATTATCTTGTAAACAATTGGCAAATCAAATAAATAAATAAATAAATAAAATAAAGAGAAATTTCATTTAGAATATCAATCATCCATGCCAAATCAGTGAGAAAATATATTTTTTCAAGACGGGCAGCCATACCTGAGTATTTTTATTTGAACCAAAAAAACCTGATGTAGCACTGGATAAGCACATCAGGTAAGATAAGCACACTGCTAGGTTGACCTTAAACTACAGACAGCCCATCTTGGTCCAAAAACTCTACCAATCTTTATAATTTCAATCTCAAATTGTTTGGAAATTTTGTTAAGTTCAATTAGGTTCTTATTGGATTGATGAAAAGTAGAATATATCTTATCAATAAATATTTTAAAATGATTTACTTGCTTTATTTCCCTAATAGAATATATAAACAAGTTGGAGACGATGTTTAAGCAGTGCCATATTATGATGTTTGGAATGTCTTTGGCTATCTTAGTGCTTACCTCAGATTTTCCCCAAGCTTAACACTGGTACCATCAAAGCAAAATCCTACTAAATGTTTCTCTAGATCAGGGGTTCCCAACCTGGGGTGCTCGCACCCCCTGGGGGTGTGAGACGATATTCCAGGGGGTGCGAGAAAAGTCCAGGTAAATAATAGGATATTGGCTATATGTTGGCATTTTTATTCCAGGGCGTGCGAGGTTCGAGTGAAATTTTATTCCAGGGGGTGCGAGGTTCGAGTGAAATTTCTTTAGGGGTGCGGGGCGAAAAAAAGGTTGGGAACCACTGCTCTAGATAGTTCTTAGTAAACCCAACATTATTCAAACTTTCCATAACTATTGTCTCTGCATTTTGTTTTTCCAATTCAACTAGCTCAAGGAAAATTGTTGGTGAGAAAACTGAATCCTCAACTTTTAAGTAAAGTATAAGAACTGGTTTGGAAGATATTGTTGAGGCTTCGTCAATAATCAAACATACTTTGTGAGTTTTTTCAATAATTTTAGTAAATAAATGTTTTCTAATGTCTTTTCCAATGAAATCTACTTTTTTTGTAAAAAGTTTTTTATTTTTTCACATTTCAAAAACATCTTTTTTAGTGAACAGCATGATTCCAGGTTTTCACATTTCCATACAAACATGAACTTGGTTACATATTCATCTTTCACATTTGATTTCATATCCTATCATTACATTACACATTTTCTATAAATTCTCTCAAATACTTTTCTCAGACTTATTTTATATATTTTCTCTTCATTTCTTAACCTAGTTCTTTTTACTTTAAATAATTCTCATATCTTCATATTCATTATACTTTATACTTTTATCTGTCAGTTTTGCAATTTCATCGCATATTCTTATTTCATCATTTCAAAAATTCCATCCCAATTCAAATAATTCAAAAAATTTCCCCCATAATTACCAATTTGAGTGTACTATCCGTTTTCCTTATTCACCATTTAATTAACTCCTCTTTAATTCCCAATAATAATTGACTTTTTAATTATCATCTTAAAAATTAATAACAATGATCTCCTAACAACTATGTAACACATATGCATTTTAGGCCAGATTCCACATGGCACTTTCCCCTTCAGTTACATCAAATCATTAATAACTTCAAATAAGTTAATCTATTCAATTGATCATAAAACTGATGTTAATCTTTTTACAACAATCCTCATAATTTGTTTCAACTATATTCTTGAATTCATTAAACATAGTTAATACACTTTTCATAGTTTCTCTTTTTCATATTTATTCCATTTGTCTCTATGTATAATTTAACAAAAAAAAAAAAACAAGTATTCTCATAACAAGAAAACATCAGTTCCAATCTTTTCATTTTAAAAATCTAATTTTCCTATCTTCTAAGTAATTTATTATTACAAATACATTTATAATACACCACATTACCTTGCAGAATCCCCTTTCTTAATCCTTATCTAACCATTATCTCTATGTCTTTTAAATAAACAATTTCTTTTCATTTTTGTTCAATTTCCATATCTCTTTATTGCCTGGTTCTTTTTCTTATTCTTTTTTCCTTCATTTCCCCCCCCCCTTTTCTTACTCCATTTTTTATCCCCCTCCCTATTTAAATCTTTCTTCTGTAATACCCTTTTCTGCTGCTTCCTTTTACTTTGTTTGGCTTTCAAAACATTCCCCTTTTAAATTGCCTCCTCAAATCTCCAAGTTTTAATTCCCATTCTTTTTCCTCTTTGCATTAGTATTTGTTGCTCCAGTTGTTCATTGTAGATGGTCTCTTCTTTAATCAGCTCCTCCCCTTCTGGTACTCCTTGTTGTTCTTCATACTCCAGAATCGCCATTTCTAATGATTATAAGGCAAGACAGCATGATTCACCTCTTTCATGTAGCATTTCTTTTATGTTTCTTAGTTCCATTTTTAATTCCAAAAAAAGTTCTGCCATTTATAAACACTTCTGTTATATTTTCTTTATCTCTTTCTTTACTCTTTAAGTCCAAACCGATTGTCCAGTAATTTAATTCGACCAGCATCTTTGATATTTATTTCCAACGATCAGCTTTTAAGATCTTTTAGATCTTTAAGTTTTTCCCAGATTCATCAAATAGTCCAAGATCCATAAATTTCAGTTTATGCCAAGATCACCAAACAGTCCCAGAGTAATTTCTTTTTTTTTTTGAAAAGAGTTTTATTAGTTTTTAAAGACAAACAAAACAAACAAAACGTAAAAACATCCAAGTTTCCATAAGTATACAAACAGTGTGTCGGTTGGTTTACCAATTTTTTTGTGCATCCATTTCGTAGTCTCAATTACAGTTATATTACATAATGACTCATATTATCAATCAAAAATTATATACCCTAGTATCACTATTAAACAATCATTTGACTCTAATTTTATTCATTCATACTTTACGAGATAGCTATAATCATATAATCATATAATCATACCAGATCTATCCTAAAAACATTATAATATCAAATAGAAAAGAAAAAATGTCTCTTTATATATTCATTATCATCTAAAATTCTAAATATTCTATTTATTATGTTTTATCATACAACCATCTATAGAAAAAATCCCAAATTTCATAAAATTGTTTATCCTCTTGTTCTCTAATTTCAAATGTCAATCTACTCATCTCAGCACATTCCAATATTTTCTTAACAATTTCTTCCTGCAATGGTATTTTCTCATTTTTCCAGTTTTTAGCAAATACAATCCTAGCCGCTGTTAATATATTTACAATCAGGTATTTCAAATCTTTACTGTATGTATCAGGTAAGATTCCCAATAAAAAAATCTCTGGTTTCAAGTCTATATGTTTCTTTGTCATTTTTTCCAACCACATGCGAATTTTAGTCCAATATTTTCTAGCATCCTCACAAGTCCACCACATATGGTAATATGAGCCAGGTATCTGATGACATTTCCAGCATTTTTCAGATTTATTCTTGAACATTCTTGCTATTCTTGTCGGGGGAAGGTGCCACCTGTAAAACATCTTATACAAATTTTCTTTATATGCTGTTGACATTGTCATTTTATAATTTTGAGACCACAATTTTTGCCATTTCTCTAGATCAATCCCATATCCAAAATTCTTTCCCCAAGCAATCATAGTTTCTTTAACTTGTTCTTCCTCTAATTTAATTCCCAGTAAATAACCATATAATTTTTTAATCACCTTTTCATCAGTACCTGTCAAAATCTTATCTAAATCAGTCAATTTATCATAAAACCCCTCTGTCTTAAATTCTTCATCATACCTTGAATGTATTTGCGCATATGAAAACCAGTTCATCTTTATACCTTGTTCCTCTAAATTTTGCATTGATTTAAGTTCACCCTTTTCATCCAGTATTTCCCCATATCTAACTGTTTGTTCCTTCTTATAAATTATAGGATAGGAAAATGCTTCAATGGTCAATAACCAAACTGGAATTTTCAAATAACATTGTCTTTTAATCTTCTCCCAATTCAGCCACAAAGACTCCCTTATATGATATCTTCTAAAATAACCCTGTATTTTAGTTCCCTTATACCATAGAAAAGCATGCCAACCCAACAACAAATCATGTCCTTCTAATGTCAACAATCTAGTCTTTCTTAGTGTTATCCATTCCTTGGCCCACATCAAGTTTGCAGCTTGGTAGTACAATTCCCAATTAGGCAAACCAAAACCTCCTCTAACTCTGGCATCTTGTAGAAGTTTTAACTTTATTCTCGCTTTTTTGCCTTGCCATATATACTTCAATCCAATTTTATTTAAATCTTCAAAATTTCCAAGCCTAATTGGTATTGTTTGAAACAAGTATAAGATTCTGGGTAAGATATTCATCTTGATTGTTGAAATTCTCCCTATTAATGACAATTGTAGATTTTCCCATTTCATCAAGTCTAAGGCTATCTGTTGCTTAAGTTTAATATAATTGTTCTCTTTTAATGTACTACATCTTGGTGTCAAATATATCCCCAAATACTTGACCTTATTCGTAACTTGAATTTTCAATAGGTCTGCCAGTTCTTCTCTTTGTTTTAATAACATATTCTTCATCAAAATCTTTGTTTTATCTTTATTTATTTTCAAACCTGCCACCTCACCATATGTCTCTATCTTTTCCAATAGTTTTGGAGCTGTTTCTAAAGGGTCTTCCAAGATAAAAGCCAGATCATCCGCAAAGGCTTGCAATTTAAATTCTTCCTTTTTAATTTTCATTCCCTTTATACTTTTATCATCTCTAATATTTCTATTCAACACTTCCAAAGTCAATACAAATAGCAAAGGTGATAGGGGGCATCCCTGTCTTGTACCTTTTCTTATATTAATAGAGTCTGTGAATTCTCCCTCTATCATTACCTTTGCCGTTTGCTTATGGTATATGGCTTCTATTACTTGAATAAATTTTCTGGAAAAACCCATCTGTTCCAATAATAATAACATAAATCTCCAATTCACATTATCAAATGCCTTTTGGGCATCTAAAAATATCAAAGCCATTTGCTTTTCGGGATGTGCCTCATAATATTCCAAAGTATCCAGGATTACTCTCATATTGTCCTTAATTTGTCTCTTTGGTAAAAATCCATTTTGATCTGGGTGAATAAAGTTATTTAAGTATTTTTTAAGTCTTTCTGCCAAAATTGAGGCAAAAATTTTATAATCTGCATTTAATAAAGAAATAGGTCTATAATTCTTAATTTGCAATGGATCAGCCTCTTCTTTTGGAATAAGTGTAATATAAGCTTCTGACCATGTTTTAGATATCCTCTTCTTTAACATAGCTTCATTCATGACTTCTAGCAATGGAATGCTCAATGATTCTTGTAGTGTTTTATAAAATTCTGCCAGAAGCCCATCTGGACCTGGTGCTTTCCCATTGCTTTGCTTCTTAAGTGCTTCAGTTAATTCCATCATTGTTATATTACTTTCTAACATTTTTTCAGTCTCTTTAGGTATCCTAGGTAAATTAGCATTCTGTAAATACTGTTTGACTTTTTCCTCATCAATATTCTCTTGCTTATACAGTTGCCCGTAGAAGTCTCGAATGATTTCCTTTTTCTCTTTATTACCATAGCAAACTTGGCCTTGATCATTTTTCAATTATAATATTTTCCTTGACTCTTTCTCCTTTCTCAATTTATATGCTAACCATCTGCCTGGTTTATTTGCATCTTCAAAATAGTTCTGTTTAGCACTTCTAATTTTCTGTGCCAATTCTTCTTTCTCTATTAGACCCATTTTATGTTTAATTATGTCCAATTTTAATTTAATATCTTTTTTCTGTGGCATTTTCTGCAGTTCTTTTTCAAGTCTTCTATGCTCATCTTCTAAAACTTTAATAGCTTGCCTTTTCTTGATATTCTTTTTTCTTATATAAGCTGCCAGAGTAATTTCTTCATGCTTCTTTCTTTTATTTCAATGTTCTGTATTTCCACTTTCCAGGATTTCTTTTTTATTGTAACAAAGTTTCTCTTATTTTGTATCAAATTCCATTTTTAAAAGAGCCAGGCCTTTTTTTTAAAGAGTCACAAAAATTTTCCTTTACCACTAGGTGGCACTCTCTGTTATATCCAAATTCCGCCCCCCCCCTTTTTTTCTTCTTTATTTAGGGTTTTTAAATTTCAAAAATCCAATAAGTCCAAATATCAGTTACTGTGGTTTTTTTTGTGACACGTTCAAGTTCAGCTTTAATTATGCCTATTTAGTGCCAAAATCATATATTTATCCAATATGAACAGGTATTTTCTTCTGGCTTCCTCCTTTCAAAGTTCAAAGCCACTTTCAGCTGTCAATTCCCCACCACCACCACCACTTTCTCTGGTTGCCACTTTTACTATCTTTCTTAAAAATGTCTTAGAATCTTAATTCCAGGATACCTTTATGTCCAGATGTTGCACCTGGTTAGCCCGGTTTTCACACTGTCCTCTTCTTTACTGCTGCAGCACAGTCTTTGTCCTGGTTAGCTCTTCCTCTTTGATATTTGACCACTGCTACAGCCCATCTTCAGAGGGCAGTATGCCTAGCCAGGGAGGGAAGATGTGGCTCCCCTTGACCCAGTTGGCAGTCTCCCCCTTTTTCACCATCCCTACAGGGTGGTTCTGGCCCCCAAAGAAGATGCTCAGGGCCCTCTGATGAAAGAGCACAGATTGAAGTTGCGCATGATGGCGGTCTCCAGTCCGTCGGTGAGGAAGGCACCACCAGAAGCCCCAAAATCTACTATTTTAACTGCAGTTTTATATGAATGCAATCCTATTTCCATATCTAATCCATTTTTAATTTGAAATTCTATCTCATCTTCTATATCTAAAATGGTTTGCACCTTTGTCCAGACTATACACTGTATTAAACACTCTATAACAGGGGTGGGCAAACTACGGCCCACGGGCCACATCCGGCCCGTTGGTCTGTCCAATGCGGCCCGCCCCTGAAAAAAAATCGCAGCCATTGGTCTGTCCAATCTGGCCCGCCCCTGAAAAAAAATCACTGGGTGTGGCGTATTGCCCTGTGCCGCGTGGCCCCCAAAGCTGCAAAACAGTGCGGAGCGATCTAGGGGTAGGAAAGAAAAGAAATTTGCAAAGGCCCCAGCTGGGAGTTCGAAATCACCTTCGAGTGCGACCTCTCCGAAGGTGAGTCCCTGCCGATCCCCCTTTTTTTTCCGGTGCTTCCAGGCTTAAACTTTGCAAAGGCAAAGCTTGCAGGCTGGAGCGTCTTCCCGCAATGCGGGACTGGAGCCGCGCCGGCGGTAGCAACTCCTGACTCAGGGGGCCTCCGAGGGGAGGGGAAGGAGGAGAAGGGGGGAAGGGGGGGCGATTCCCAAAAAATCTTGTGCTGACCCGGC